AATCCAAGAGTATACGCATTGACTATGTAATCATTAGTTGTTAATGTAATAAAGGGAAGCTGGAATTTCAGGATATAATTAAAGAGATTCAATTATAGTACCATAAATTACCTTATTTAATGCACTATAATTCTAATTGTATCACTGTATAAAATAAAATAAAAACACAAATAAAACTAGATATTCATATAAAATGTAGTCATTTTTAGTAAATAACATTTTTATAGCTATTGAACTTCAATAACCCTATAAATGTAGTCATTTATGTAAGTTGCTCTTAAAATTTTGTCTTATATTATATTCTTTATGTACAGATTTATTTCTCTCAAATTGGATATTTGTTTGTTTTATTGATGAGATTTTATTTGCTTGGAACCTAAAATAATTTTCTATTGAAAATAAAATTAGAAACTCGAATGACTATAATGTGAGTGGACTTTTGGTACGCATCCATCAATCATCATGTAAAATCAAAAGTCACAATTTTGGTAAGAACTTTCATGGGTAGGATTTCTTCCGTCATAAACACATGTTATTTTAGTCTAATTTCATGGGTAGGATAGGATTTCTTCCGTCATTAAACACATTTTAAAATGTCCGCAGTTTTGAGAACTTCGCATAGGAAACATCTATTACTATATATATAAGAAGGAAGAGTGAATAAAATTCACTTTACTATATAAGAAGAGTGAATAAAATTCACTTTACTATATAAGAAGAGTGAATAAAATTCACTTTACTATATAAGAAGAGTGAATAAAATTCACTTTACTATATAAGAAGAGTGAATAAAATTCACTTTACTATATAAGAAGAGTGAATAAAATTCACTTTACTATATAAGAAGAGTGAATAAAATTCACTTTACTATATAAGAAGAGTGAATAAAATTCACTCTTCTTTCGACACGTGGCACCAAGATGGCCCACCTACTTTTATATTTGGTTTTTGAAGATGGCCCACCTATCACAAATATGGCCCACCTACTTTTATACACTCCTCTTTCATTATATTTTAATTTTTTCCTTTTTAAATAGTACTAAAAAATAAATTTAAAATATTACAAATTCGATTAACTCTCAAAATTTTACGCGAATTGTATAATTAAGACGAAGGGAATAACATATATTATTTGAAAAATTACATTAAGAATACCATAAACCACAATAGTTAACAACTTACAATATTTGAAAAACATATTAACTCTCAAAATTTCACATGTGTCACATAAATTGGGACAAATGGAGTAACATATATTATTTGAAATTACGTTAAGAATATTATTAATCACAACTTAAAGTATTTAAAAATACATAACATATATTGTTTGAAAATAATGTAAAAAATATTATAAATCATAATAATTAACAATTTAACGGATATTGTGCCCGTGCTTCCATTTAGAAGTCAGAATGTTTAGGAGCTTAGGGTTAGTTAGTCAATTGACCGATTTGCCCTTCTTCTTCAACTTCCTCTATTTACTACAAAAATAGTACTAAAAATCAATTTAAAATATTAAAATTTTGGTTAATTCTTGAAATTTCACATGTATTGCATAATATAATAGAGTGAGTAACATATATTATTTGAAAATTATATAAATAGTACTAAAATATAGTTTAAAATAGTACTAAGAATTTGATTAACTCTCGAAATTTCATATGTACTGCGTAATTGAGATTGAGTGAGAAATATATATTATTTGAAAAATAGAATAAATATGTGATATTATTAGAAAGAGCTTTAATATATATTTTAAAAATTATTTTGTCTTCCGTATATGATTTTCTGCATATATGTGGAGTTTTAAAGTTTTTAACATTTTAATATAGAAATATGATTATTTGAAAATTTTAGTACTTTCTTCATTTAAATTTTTCCTTGTTTTTCTTTTAATTTGTTCTAGATTTAAAAATTACATAAAAAGTACTTAAAATCACAATGTAATAATATAAGATATTAAAAAAACATAATTAAAAATCATAAAAGAAATTTTATTGACTCTTTAATTCCATATTGAAACATAAGAAGTTTGTTTGAAAATAACATAAAAAGTAACGTAAATTAAAGTAAAATAACAACTAAAAATATTGAAGAATCATATAAGAAATTTAGTTGACTTTCGTAAAAGTACCTACGTCACATAAAATGGAACAGAAAGAGTAATATATATTATTTGAAAATGATATAAGAAGTGCTATAAATCACAATAAATTAACAACTTCAAAATATATTTAACAAAATCACATACAAAAAATTATATAACTCTCCAAATTTCATCGGTGTCACATAAATTGAAACAAAGAACTACTCCCAATTTATGTTATTTACTTTCCTTTTTAGTCAGTCCCAAAAGAATGTCACATTTCTATATTAAGTAACAATTTGATTATAAAATATTTATTTTACCCTTAATGAAATAATTTATATCATTCATTTTGGACCACAAATTTTAAAAGTCTTCATTTCTTTTTTAAACTCCGTGGCGAATCAAACTACCTCACATAAAATGAGACGGAGGAAGTAATATACATTGGGCCCGCGCTGGCGCGGGAACCTAATAACTAGTATATCTATAAGAGAAAAAGGTACCACATATCAACATCATAAAAAATATTTTTTAAAAAAATTATTATATAATAGAATTAAATAATAAATTAATATTTTATTTTCTGTAATTATTTTAAATAATAGATAACAATTTTTAAAAAAATTAAAAAACAAAATAGAAACTTAAAGCAGTTCTTCAAATTATCATTTTTAAAACTTAAATTTATATTAATAACAGCACAACACTTACGTGAAATGAAAAACGAAAAAACAAACTGCGACTTTGATTATGAACTAACAAAATTACCTAATTTACTTAATTTATTTACAACATAAAATCAAATCGCTCTAAAAGAGTAATATCTCATAATAGATAGTCACATACTTCTTCCGTCCAACAATAGTAATTCAATAATATTTGTCTAATTTAGAAAATCAAGAGATAATTTACCTTTTGTGTCTATTTTACCTTGCTATTAAATATTATTTATCATCTAACATATTTTTCAAAGCATTAAATTTAATAAATCCAAAGGATAATATAGTAATATTACTCCTATTATTTATTGTTTTTTAAGGGGTATGTCAAGTCAATAGTGAACAATTATTATTGGACAAAAAGACTAATATCATAGATTAAATTTCATATACGAACCATTACTAATTTACTATATTATTACAAATATTTTTTTTTCACTTTATATGAATTATTTTAAAAAATAGCATTGAAGATAAAGTTATGCATGATTATACTTTTATAAATAATATTTGAAAAATAAAAAATTTAATAAAAATATAAAAATTTAGAGTAAAATTTTCAAAATTAAAATATAATGAAACTGCAAAAAGCAAAAATAGATTTTTTCTTGATCAAACAGTGATGAATGATTTTTTGGGCTAGTTTCAATTATATTATTCGTTCAAAATGATCCGCATTTACAATACGTAGAATTTTTTTAAAAAGGAGATGAAGGAAGAGGAGAAGTAGAAGCAGAAGAGATGCAGTAGTAGAAGAAGAACGAACCAAAAAAAGGAGAAGAAGTACGGTAAAAGAAGAAGCCAAGCATAAGGATGATGAAGAAGAAAATTGGCTATTTTGAACACAACGAGATTTAGACAGAAACTATAGCTATGTTGGGTAGTAATACTTATACTATTCTAATCTAATACCCAAAAACTATAATCATATTTGTAAGTTGCTCTATTTTAAAAGATAAAAATGTGTAATGACCACTTACTATTTTAAATATCTTTTTTTTTTAATAAGAAATTCAACCTAATAAATATTTTATTTTATATTTTTCCAAAAAAAAAGTAAAGAATTATCGTGGTTTTCAAAATTGCGTGTTCAGATCACCGAAAAACCCAAAAAAAGAGTGAAGCACGAGGAAAACCTCAGGAAGGGTAAACAAGGAAATATCGTCCAAATTTAAAGTTGGTTTGTTAATTTTTTGCGTTTCCAAAGGGCAAAATCCACTTGACGCTTGCATTACCCACTCGGACTGGACGCTGAACTATGTAGTAGCAGAGCATTAGCATTTTCTCCTTATAATCGTCACATTTCAGAATCTTCATCTCCAAATCTTAATCTCCAATATGGGAAATCGGATTGCGAGAATCCAAAATGAAACGCCATGGTTGATCTCTATGAAGGAGCTTCGCATGCTGGGGGCCTCAACCTCGCTGTATAGCTACACAGTTCGAGTGGATCCTTACGACAGTACAGAGATTCCTGCTGCCCTATTCCTCAATCGCAATCATCAGTATGGAATGCCCTCTGAGATCGTCATATTTACAAACGGAGCTGAGGTCCTGAGAAGCTTAATCTCCCAAGATTTCGTTAGATACGTGAAGATAACACTCTCTGTTGAAGGTCCGGATCTTGTTGTTAAAGGAGTCCGTCTTCAACTCCTTGATCTCTGCTGGTTTCGGTGAGTATCTCTTCATGCTCCAGTAATTGAGTTATTTGCTTAGGCTCATTATTAATAATAAATATCTTCTGAAAATCTAGCTGTGTTTGGGTTAGCTCTTTGTTACGCTGTCATCAGGTAATATTTTGTGATATTATTGAATTCAACGTTTGGTGTATTTTCCTTATTAAAAAGTAAATTAATTTACAGCAGAATAGTAAAATTGCTAGTGATTATGCAGTAATATAAAATTAGTTTTACAATGAATGGGAATTGTATATCATGCATAGTGTGTTTTGAAGTAAGAGAGGAAAGGGTAAGATAGGGGAATGAAAGATTAATTTGATTAAATTAATCACTCAATTTATGTTTAGAAGGATCAATCATTGATGTTCAATACCTTCAGCTAATTTGATAGTCTTTATGAAGAATGAATTTAACAATTTTACCAATTGAGTTTTGAGTTTTGTAGCTAAAGAATGACGATTGAAAGCTGAGGAACATATGGGATCCAAAAGCTACTTTCGGGTATGATAGTAATTAACATGGACTATTGGTTTCCTTTTGGTTTCTGCCGATTAAACTTGAAAAACTGTTGTGTTCTATAAAGTAACCATAAAACCGATTGTGTATGGGAGAAAGCTTGAAGCTTTTCAATATTATTGTGGGACTTTTGATAAAGATGGATAAACTTTGGGTTAGAGTGGATGGTATATTTTGAGGCACCAGGATGTGTTTTATAGGTTGTAGTTGTCTAATTTGCACTAAAGAATGAGCAAGCTATGGTATGGGTTCTTGGATCGCTCGCTAAAGGAACCGAATAACTAGCATTGAATTGGATTTGAATTATATGGGAAGCAGATGTTGGTTAGCTGATATTTGCCTGTTGTTTTTGTTAATTATTATGCTTCTTTGATTGACTGATTTTTCTGAAAAAGATATCTGATATCGGCTTTAACAAAATTACATATCGGTACAACTTTTGCCAAATAAGATGAAATAACACTAGGATGAAATACATGTGAAGAGAAAAACATTCCTGCCTGAGCACCTTGTAACTAGAACCTCAACTTTAATGTGTGTGGGGTGGAGGGGAGGGGGACTTAAAATAGCCAGTGCTGATGGTTTTTGAAGATTATTCGATGTCTAGATTGCTTAAGAGTTTCTAGTAGAAAATTAGTATTGATATGTAGTGACTTAGATTTATTTAGTTAGGTTTTATTGCTGTGGTTATGACTAGAATTGTACCTTATGAAAGTTAAAGGCTATGTACTTTGTATAAAGTGAAATTATTCTTATTATGTTATGGTATGTATTGCACAAGATATATTGATAGTAGGTGTGAATTTTATTGGTGTTGAACCGATGAAACTGATGCTATAATCAAGTTTCTCTTCATAGTCTAATTCCTGATTTTTTTTATGAAAACACATCATAAAGGTGAAATTGTCATTTATTCCACCAATGATTTATTCACCGTAAGATTGAAGTCAGATGCATTCTCACAAGCTTCATCAGCTCAAATGATCAACTATTAGTTTTTCTTACCAAGTCCCTTAGGCTTGGAGGACCTTAAATTCGCTTGGTGCCTTTGACTTATATGCTTTAGGTTGAGGTGCAGTGTTGAAAATCATGCTGAAGATTATTCTTTGTTGTCTGGATTGGATTGCTTTAAATTGGCACATGCTTAATTTGATCTGTATTGATTGAGTTATTAGGTTTAAATTGATTGCTGTGATTATACCTTGATAATGATATGTAATTAAGCCTACAACAAAGCTATTGTCTGTGTAATTAGCATAAATCTCAATAAGCTTGAGGGAAAAATCAAGTACCTTAGTTGAATTCTCTCTAGTTCTTTAATTCTCTCAAAATCTCTAATGATAATGGGTAAGTAGAACTTATGAGGTCGCCACACAAAAGACTCAATCTTGAATTTTCGTTTCTGTGGAACTGTGGAAGATGCAGGAATTTACTCACCAAGAGTTAAAGAGATATGGAGACCCAAAGTGATGTGGGAGAAAAATGATATAAATGATTAGGAGGTGCAATAGATGTTTACTTTGTTTGCTTAGAGCAAGCGATTCTTGTGTTTTAGATGGGATCCTTTTTTGTATTTTAGAGCAAGCATTTCTTTAAAAAATAAAAAGAGAAGAAGAAGAAAAGATGGGACCCTTTTTTCATTTATTTATTTTTCCTTACTGAATGAAAGGTGTAAATTTTTTCCTGTTGGTAAGGGATTTTAGCACTCCATAGTTTTTTATACTATCAGTCTACATATAAATGCTTCTCCCTGTCTCTGATATTGTCTTCCTCTTTGTAAATAAGACAACCTTTTGTCTCCCTAGCGCATGGGCCGGGGCAATGCAACTATTAATGTTTTATCAAGAAGATTGCAAAGAAAAAAGGATTTAAATACTCCTTATAAAAGAATTGACTTAAAACTACATAGTTCCCTTCCTTTATTTTTTCTCGTATTTGATTAGTCTTTTGCTCCATTTGTAACTTGTACAAAACGATTAGGGTGGTTTATATATGGATGATATTTGCATCACACAAGATTCAGGCTTGTTGAACTAGAGCTGGGGGAAGTGGGAATCGGAAGCTTAGGAATGAGGAATCTAGCAAGGTGGACATCGACTAGAGACCAGATCAGCTGGACTGAAATTTCAAAACGATATTGGTCAGGTGTGCGATAAATCTAGAAAGGACAGTTTCTGTATATTCCATCCTTGGGCATATGCGTGATGTTGTACTTGCTTCTTGATCGAAATAACAAGCGTCACACAGACCTCATTGAAAAGAAAAGAACTGTTATTAAGTTCACAAAATTTCGGAACAAAGTTACCTACTTGTTGCTCTTAGGAAAGATCACTCTCCATCATGTGGACATTTGATAGGAATTAGGTTCTGAGCTTATTAAAGTAATGGTCTCCTTTTCTTCATCTTCATGTTATTGAACCTACATATGTATGTTATTGCACTTTCTGGATTAACTTTTATTAGCTGGATTATGCTTAGCATGATTGGCAGCATGAATTGGTAAATTTGATAATATACCTATTTCAAGGATTTAATTTAACTTGCTCTTAGTGGTCACTTTTTCATTCTAAGAGTCTGGCATGAGTTGATTGACTTCTGATGATTGACATGATGACATGGCTTAGGGGCTGTGGTTTTCTAGGCCGAGAATACAGCGGAAGGCAAGGTGTGACAATCATGAGATGCAGAATCTCCAGGCTCTTGGTACTTATTTTCTTATAGTTTATTTGATTTTGTTTTTCCCTCTTTTACTACTTATGGGAGTGATGTATTTTCGATCCCTAGAGAACAACCATGTCCAACAGCAGAGTAGTATCACTTCAGTTCAAACGGTGTCTAGATCTTCTTGCTTTCTATAAGTTTGTTCTTGGAAACTTGGGTACTGATTGCCATAGCATGCTTCTTAGTTCATTTTGTTCTTGTTAATATTGTGATAAAAACTTTTTGTCCCTTTCGGTTGACTGTAGAGTGGCAATGTGATTTGTCATTGCGCAAACTGGGCCATCCATTTTGTCTCTCGATTATCACCAATGTTTTTTCTCACCTTGTTAGTCTAGTTCAAGTAGTCATTACAGTTTGATCATTAAGGATACATTTTATGTTTGAATAAGGATAATTTCCTCCATCCCGTATTCGGTATTGGGTTTTACCTGTCAAAGGCTTTAGGATAATAGTTTCATAGAAACGTAGTGATACTGTCGCTTCTGGCCTTTTTGTGTCATGCCAAATAAAAGTTTGTTGTCTCTTTTCTTCTCTGTAAGCTGTATTCATGCATTAAAATATATGACATCTTAATATAAACATTTTCCTAGACTCGAACACCCTGTAAATCAGCAACAACCATATGTAGCCACTGAATTCAGATGTTACATAAAGAAGTATGTCAATCTAGATAATATAAGGTTATTTAGAAGGGAACTAACTACAAAAATATATATTTTGATTAACCCATCACATGAAGAACCGTCCCTTTGTCTACATACCCTTACCCGTTCAATGGATAGAGTTATATTTGATATGGTTATGTCCAAAAGTAGCTGAGGTTGGTAGATGTTGTCGACCATTAGTTTCAAATAAATCCTCTTCCATCATGTTCATGTCATCAACATTTTTTGGTTTATTGTGAACGTAATCATTTGTTTGAAAACTGGGGAAAGTAAAAGGAAGGGAAGAGAAGAGGGGAGATCAAGGGGAAAACACTTGTTTTTGCCTTTTGGGGATAGCAAAACAAGAGTATTTTCTTTGTTCGTTTGGTTTGATTGTAAAATAAAAGAAATCCGAAAGTGTACATCTTTTGCTTTTGTTTGAATTTAATGCATGGACTCTATGAGAAAGTGCTATGGTTGCATCAAAATAACAACAATAGTGAGTTGGTCTTGAAATGATTCTAGCATTTTGTTACATCCAACTACACTGTAAATAGTGTGTGTTAGAATAGGAATATGTATATACAATTCTACTTAGAATAGGAATAGGAATAGGAATAATAAATAGTGTCCTACTTGGTGAAGAATTGTATTGTATTGTCTATAAATAGGGTTTTTATATAATAATGTAGACACAACAATTCAATAATATTTTTCTCCTATATTTCTCACATGGTATTAGAGCCTCTACGAACTTGATATAGAATCAAAGAGCATCCGCTGCACGCGGGTGGCTATTATCCATATATGCCGCCCGTCTGGCTAATGATTATATGCATGAACCCCATATTCAACGGAAGAAAACTCAGTCAGACAAGTCACCGTGCGTCAATTTTCGGTGACTTTCTAGGGCTGTTTTGTGTCTACCCCATATCCGTTGGTATATTTGTGTAGCACCATGCCATCTTTTCGGTGACTACTTTTTTCATATTTAATTTATGTAGCACCATGCCATCGTTTTCGGTGACTACTTTTTCATATCTGATTTGCGTAGCACCGTGTCATTTTTCCGATGACTACTTTTTCATATTTAATTTGTGTAGCACCGTGCCATCCTTTCAGTGACTGCCTTTTCATATTCAATTTGTGTAGCACCGTGCCATCCTTCTGGTGACTACTTTTTTTTTCATATTTGATTTGCGTAGCACTGTGCATCTCTCTGGACTACTTTTCATAGTTAATTTGCGTTGTACCGTGGATTTTTTCTGAACTGCTTTCTTATCTGAGAGGCATACCATTGTGTGTCTTTCTGGTGACTCCTCAAATCTGATTTGTGTAGGGTTGTGCCGTCATTCCAACCCTACCCATATAATTTCTCTTTTTCAGTAGGACCGTGCCATAATTCCTACCCTACCCATATTATTTCTCTTTTTCATTAGGATTATGCTGTCAATTCGACCTTTCCTATATAATTTCTAATTTCCAGTTAGGTCATGCCATCATTCCTACCCATATAATTTTATTTCTTAGATTGTGACTACTTTCAACCATCAAATCTAATACTCCGTCATATGAGCATGTTCCGACCAGTTTTTCAGTGACTTTCTTGTTTAATATCGACTCGTCTATTGATTCCAACATGAACCATATACTTCATACTAGATTTTGAGCATTTTCCAGTGACCGCTGCATTGTGAAGAAGTCTATATGTAGCAACCACCTAATTTTGTTACTTAGGGGGAGTTTAGTAGCCTTGTATGTCGATTACGTAAGTCACTCTATGGTCTGAAACAGTCTTTGCAAGCTTGGTTTGTGAAGTTCAACACTGTTATTTTATCACTTTGTGTTTTATTGACATTATGCATCAAATTCAATATTTCATGAGAAGACCAAGCATATTGAGATTGACTTATATTATGCATCAAATCCAGTATTTCATGAGAAGACTAAGTACATTGAGATTGACGGTCAATTTTGTGAAGTCGAGTGATAAACTTGTAGATATCTCACCAAGCCCCTCATCGGTCCTCGTATTAATTACATTTGTAACTAGCTATAGGTACATATGATTTGTATGCACTAGCTTGAGGGAGAGTTTTATAATAGGAATAAGTATATACAATCCTACTTAGAATAGAAATAGGAATAGTAAATAGCATCCTACTTGGTAAAGAGTTGTATTGTAGTGTCTATAAATAGGATCTTTATATAATAATGTAGACACAACAATTCAATAATATTTTTCTCCTATATTTCTCACATGTGTACCTCCAAAAAATCTTTGCATTCTTACTGTGACCAAATCCACACAATTTTGATACTAAATGTTGTTGGTCATCTAGTTGGGACAAATGAAACATTTTCAAAATATGGCAAGACTTTTTCCACTCATATTTTTGGACAATGATCCAAATAGAAATAGAGCTTGATAGTTTCACTACTTTCCTCGCAGATGATGCTACAATTAGCACTACTGGCCTCATACTGTCATCTAAATTGCATTTGCAATTTGCATTGCTCAATCGCCACTTTTTATTTTTTCTAATACAGTGGTTTCCGGGCACCTTGCTCTATCGCCACTTTACTGCTGCTTCTACCTTTTCGGGGTTCTCTTTCCAGGTTGCATTTTCTTGCTTTTATTCTAATGATCAATAGAGGCTTCCTTGGGAGTAGGATCTTGTGCGATTGAAAAATCTTATCTCTTGTTAAGTGACTCTTTTGTATGTTCAATTTTCGTTGCTTCAACTCTCTCATTTAGAAGTCTAAAATCTCTTTTTTTGCATCAGACCTGAACCCAAAGAGACTGAAAGTTATTGCTTCTGTTGAAAGCTTTTATGATAGGATCCGTATTTTAAGCAGAAGTTGAACTATTTTCTCTCATCTTTCCTCTCATACATATCTATATGTGCATCCAATGATAGTGATTTGTAGAAGTAGTGCAACAAATTTCAACTTGAGTGTTGTTCAATGCTGTTTTTGATGTCTGTAACTTTTGTTTTTCTTGTGCTCAGCTGTAAAGACCAGCATTTGATTTGGATGAGTTGAAGCTCATTGAAGCTGACTTGGAGGAAAACATACTGGGGACTATTTCCATTGTGGATTATGTGTCCAAGTCTTTCAAATTATCTTGTATCTACTCTCCTCTCATTTCTTTTGCTGCTTGTGTTGACTTAAACATGTCTAGTACTTATTTCACATCTCAATTAATAGCTCTCTTCTGTGAGAGTAAAAACAAATCTTCCTTCTTTAAATTTGAAGATTCTCCTGATATTATGTGCATTGTCTGACATGCTTGGGTATGTTGAATCTACCTTTTATATCCTTTGTTTTTTTGTGATAAGTACTGATTTTATTAAAAGAGTACCTAGATGGTACAGAAAAAGGTACAGCACTTAACAGCAAACTCTATAATTCAATACTGCATATTATCTCCTAGTAAGAACAAAAAATGTCAAATACTTATCCATCATATCTAAAGTAGTGCTATAACACCAAAAGTACAGTTTTTAATGCATTTATTTTTTACTCTAGAAATCTTTAACTTCTTCCCATCAAAGCATGCCATGTTTCTTTCAAGCCATAAGGTCCACATTATGCAATTGGGAATAGTTCTCCATATTGGCTTTAAGCTCTTTTTAACCTCCTGTAATTTCCACACTTCCAACAAGCTACTAATTTTCTCTGGTAACACCAAAATATGCCCTGCATTATTGAGCTAGTAAAGGGGCATAGTAAAAATATTTCTTCTTTCACTAGGTGAAATAGAAACGATATGTATAATAGTGTATGATGTTAGAGATTGTAAGAAAAGCAAATGTGGAGCTGGTGGGGCAAAGTAAACATATTTCTTCTCTCTCTAGGTGTAATAGAAACGATAAGTATAACAGTGTATGATGTTAGAGCGTAAGAAAAACAATGTCCATATTTGATCTCAAGTATATAAGTAGTCATAGCATCATAAATCAGAAATACAAGAAGAAATGAAAGAACTGATATGTCATTTGAAAGCTTCAGGTATTAGTCCCTTCGTTGTTGCAATCATGAGCGTGTGAGTTGCTCTTCTGTTTTAGGCAGATCATTGCCTTCCTCCGATTGACTCATGTTACGGCCCGCAATTATGTGAGCAATAGAATTCATAAGCTGGAGTGGTTCTGAAGCACCATTTTAGCATGAGCTGAAACTGGGTTTTGAGTTTCTGATCTTGACTTAAAATCGGTGATTTTATATATATTTTTATCATCTGTTATTCTTAATGTTCAATTTCTGTGGTGGAAGCATAACTTAAAATGATAGATAGAGCACTGATAGACAGATATTTGAGGGGTTCTAAACCTAGGAATGGACACAAGGTAGTGTACTAGTGTCCGACTTCGTTATTTGCTGATTTTAAACCCGTCCTATGTGATACTGAAGTAGATCAGATTCCATGCTTGAGGCATGTATTGATATGAATTCAGATGGTCTCCGGCTTAAAAATAAATTGAAGGAATAACATTCTAGTAGACGAGCTTGAAAATATAAAGTATATTCCGAGACCCTCAATAATGGTTAAATCACTTCATGCAACTTAGGTTTTTCATTGGGTGCGAACCTAGAAAGATTGTGTAATGTCGAATCACATCATTGAAAGAGTTGAGAAGAGGGTAAAAGTATGGCAAAACGAGATACTTATTGAAAAGCAAGAAAAGATATAGACCTCGAGTACAATATCTTGCCCTCAACCTATTTGTAACGATGACATCTTGAAGCATGGGAGGAAAAGAGACTGGAGAGGATATAAAGCAAATTCTTATGGAATACGAGAGGAGGTGAAGAAATACCGTTTAAACTAGAAGGTGGAAGATCACCATGTAGAAGAGTGTTGGGGTTCAGAGATCTTAAGGTTTTTAGTAAAGCCTTATTGTATAAAAGCAAATGGATTTAAAGATTTTTAGTAGGTAGACTATTTTATTGAGATTGATCATCGCTGGCAATTATGAAACTCAACAAAGGAAATGGAGGACAACCAAATTTCTTGGTCATACAGGGTAGCATTATGGAGAGGCATCTTAAAGATTTGTTTTTATTAAGATAATGAGCGATTAGAGATAATGTTACAAGAGCATTATAAAATAGGTGACAATGTCACAAGAATCCTTCAATTACCATTTACCACCAGTGGTTGATGTTGACACAAAACAATTTCTTTCATGAGAGCCGAGTACTTCTGACAATAAAAGGAATATTTTCATTACCCTTGCTTGCTAATACCCTAGCAATCCATGGGACAAATATATTCGACCACAATATTTGTTGATTCAAAACCATTCTCATCCAGCATCCTTTTATCTTTTAACAAAAATATAAGAACAAGGATAAAATAGTGAAAGGAATATATTATTGAGCCCTGTTGATTGGTTGGGACCCTTCTAGTGATTGTGATTTTCTGCAAACAAATACACAATCTTGCCTCTAAAATCTTCGGATAACTTTGAGTTATTTTTTGTTTCAAGTAGTTCTATGGTACCACAGGATTTTAATAATATGTTGAGGTGAAAATAGTGTTTCCATTTGTTCTGCCTAAAGCAGTTAATACCACACATCTTTACCCTTGGAGATATGTGCATCTACATCACTTGCTGGACACCCTTAATCAAATCTAAGAAAAGGCACCTGCTAAATGTAAACATTCGTCTAAACATAGCACAGGAAAGTATTATATGTAGGATTGGAATTTCTCAAATTACTAGTGTATCAGATTGCTTATTTCTTCTGTATGTTCTAGTTACACATTAAAATTACTGAAATTTAAAAAACACTAGGTGGTTTCTTACCATTTGTCCCAGCCTTGATCGACAGAGTTATCCGCGGTACCTGTGTTGGTGGGAGGTAGTAGGGACCTTGTAGAATTGAGGTGCGTGCAAGATGGCCCCAGACAACACGGTTATAAAAAAAATCATTGAATATTGCAGCTGTTTACAAGTCTAATGGATTCAAATTTGCATTTATTTTTTAAATAATGGTTTCAATTCACAATGAGCTATTAATATTCTACTAGCTCATCAAAAGAATCCTTGCACACGTCTCTTTTCACTGTACAGTACCTGATGCTGCATTTTCCTCAATAGGACTCACTTATTTCTGCAAATATCTTCTAATGGTACACTAGCTGAATTTCACACGGTCTCATGTTCATTTTGCAGGAAGCGGTGCACACACTTTTCTTCTTTTGACGTGTGTTGTTCTCCTACTGATACACTAATTGGTGGTCTATGAGACTATTGGATCCTTCCATTTTCAGCTACAATTATTCTTTTTATCTCCTGACTGGGGGAATCCATGCCTAATGGAGGTAATATTTTGTCTGCATCTGTTAATTGGTCACAAATTCTTTGGCATTATTTTCCAAATATTCTCTTCTGCTTAATTTAACGTGTGTCTGACTTGAAAACAAGAATATTTAGACATAAATGGATGTTGTTGAGAAGTGTCAGAGAAATTTTAGCTATATGTTGGAAGTGTGAGCACTTAATAGGAACGTTAAATGGCTGTTGCTGAAATGCAGTAGTGATTATCACTCCCTAGCAGCCACTGTTATAGACTCTTATGTGCTAAAATTACTATCATTTCTTTCCTCCTCCTCAAGACTCAAGAGAAAAAAAAAAGGGGAAATGAAAAAGTTGAATAATGTCCTTCAGTTTTGCTGTACTTAAATTTTCTTTTTTTGATTAAGAAAGTGTATAGCTTTGTATAATTTATCTCTCATTTCTATCTATTCTGACTCTGTGTTGGAGCATGTTTAATCTCCATCTGTTGATCAAATTTGACTGCTTGTTGAAGCATATTTTATCTCATGTTACATATCCGCAAAATTCCCGAAATCATCAAAATACTGACAATCTTGCTGCGCGATAGCCAACAATAATTTACATTCATGTCTGTGTTCTGAAATGCATCCCAAACTTTCAAGTGATTGTACAATCTAATAGATCTATGTACATAAAATATCAAAACTTAAGGAATCTAAAACTACTATTCAAACATTTGTTCATGTTGAGAACAGTGCACCCACTGACAACTCTTCAGATGATAGGCAAGGTAAAAACCTTTGATCTGGCAATCATCCCTTTCTGTAAATCTGCATTTCATACATAATATGAGCTTTCCTCACTATAATATTGATATTGATATTATTTTGTTCTTTTTAACCCAGTTTATGAGAATGAAAGTTCTTGACTTGTGCTGAGAGCATGGAGATTTTAAGTAGCTGAATCATAATCACCAACTTAAACATTTGGTGTCGTTAAGATGACCAAGCACTTATGGCTTAATATGAAGCGGCTACTTGGTTAGATAAGATTTAAGAGGTAGCACTTTTCCGTTTCAAATAACACCCCGGTAGCAACTTCACCATTTCACATAACACCCCGGTAGCAACTTCTCCATTTCATATAAAACCCCCCGTAGCACTTTTCCATTCAACCATTCAATTTTTGATTCTAAATAGTAAGTATCAACTGTGGAACACGGAAAAGTACATTTTTGTTAACCTAATTACTAGACTCTTTATATTTGTTAGCATATATACAGAGGTTCCATTTATTGCGTGATTTTATTATCTTTTAGCTACACACACAAACACATATTAAGAAGCTCTAGATTAATGGTGGTTAGGATTATCCTTGTGGCTATAATTGTTTCAAGTATTTGTTAATAATTCAGGAATTAATGGGAGCTTTACCAGTTCACTTGTGTGTCCAACTATGCGTTACCATCACAAACAGAAGAGCGGCATCCATACAATACCAGAACTGTGTAGGCTAGCAAGAAGGAAACAGTTGTTCCAGCTTTTGCATACTGTTGAAAGACAGTAATGCTATCCACGTTTTGTTGCTGCAGGGATGAGTGTGTTCTAGGCAAATCCTCAATCGTACTGACTGAACTTTCTGCATCTGTATCAGTATATGAATAATCAACACGACTTTTAACATGGTGCAATTGAACATAGTTCTCTTTCTGGTCTGAAGTGTCTGTATCTGAACCCGTGGAGTGTGGTTCAATTTTGACAACGTGGTTGCAGCGCCTTTGATGGTCCATGAATTCTGCTTCGAATTTTGCTGTTCGCTCTAGGTTAGCCATCTTTTGAATGCTCAGCCCTTGGTCGATCCAGTTCATATCTAGAGCATTCTTTATGTGGATGCTTTTAAGTACGGTTGATATGAAGTTGGCACCAAATGTAAGTGCAATCAAAATGGAAAGGGAGAAAGGCTTCCACCAGTTTTTACATTGGACGGGTGAGGGTTTTGAATTTGACAGGAAAATAATGAGCAGGAAAATGACATAAAACATGGCTAAGTGAGTTGCTTTTGTCTCATAGTACTGGATTTGCTTCACTAGCCTATGATTAATGATGGCCAATTCTTTGCAGGTGTTTTTGTGGTTTTCTATGGTGTGGGAGAGTTTACTCCACATGCCATTAATCTGAATACTTTTGGACATAGTTGAAAACACACACAAATTATTTTCTTCTTTATTTTCTTCTTTTTGAGGAAAATTCGAGTAGGTATGGTTTATGTAGAAAGTTAATTTACCGTGCTCAGGTGAATATCTCTGTTACAACCACTTTCTTTGCAAGCTACTTCCAGATAGATTATCTAAGCTGCGGTCCTTAGAGTTGCTTCTAAGGTGGAATCTCCGATTGGAGGATTTGCACATCTAACTTAAATTAACAGAGGGATTTCTTTGCTTATCCAGGTAAGATTCAGCAATCCTGGTTTCTCTGGTTTTTCTTGTGAACTGTCTCAGAAATGTGGAGGGGTAAGAGTGTTGAAGTACTTGATCTTATATAAAGGTGAGATTGAAAGCACTCAATCTCACCTTTATATAAGATTCTTATATAAAGGTGAGATTGAGTGCTTTTTAACTTAATTTAACTACAACTAATACATACAAATATTATTCTTTTAGTCGTATTCAGTATATCAAATTATGAGATAATATATATTAGAAAGAGAAGAATGGATTTATATATAAAAAAAATGTGCTGATGTAACATCTTGTGCGTGTGCTATGTTTTTTTATTCTTATATTCTTGCTGAGAAAATCAGCTAGCAGCAATCGGACGCTACCTGGAGAATTGATATTTGACTATGATACCTTTCAGCTTAAGAAATGTAACTACTGTACAAGTGTGAACTTTCAGTATCTGAGCAAAGTTTTGTGATTAACATTTGGTTTTAGTTTTGAATCTATTGTAGCATGGATATAGATGAAGCAATGAGAACATTGTGCATCTTTTCTACCTGTGATGTTGATTTACTCAATACTTTAGATATATTTTGGTTTCTTGTAGATATCCGGTGCCAGAAAATTATTACCTGGAAGCAAGAGATTAGAGAAAGAGTTGAGATATACTTGTACACGAAAATGACTTGTGTTATTAGACTTATTATAGTAGGAAAAGAGATGAGATCCTGACTATTTTGGTTCAAAGCTTAAACAGACCTTTAATGGGACAATTAGCCTTATATTTCCTCTAGTTATCTTTACTTGTCCATGTTTGGCTTGGAAAATCCGTTAAGAGACGATGAATATAAGGGTAAGTTCACTATACGGCCTTTATTAATTATAGGTCATGTAAATGTTGGCAAATGAATCGTATTTAGTAACAAGGGTTAAAATAGATACGAAGTGGTATTTTATCTCTTGGTTTTCCATATTAGAAAAGTAAAGTTGGACAATTATGTCTAATATATTGGATAAGTAAAGATGAATGGAGGGAATAATAACCTATCTATGTGTGTTGCTTCACATCCTAGAAGCAATTTCTGTTGTATTGCATTGGAAAGTTTATAGACTTTGTTTTGTTGTTAACAACATCATATTACACAAACTATGATTTTTATGTTTGCTACCTAATTTTTATTTTATTTGTGCCTTTTGAAAAAGTTGGACCGTTAATAATAGTCAACCCTTTTCCTAAGTCAACTGTAGAATTGCTATGGAGTAATATTTAATCATAAAATCAACAATCAATCTAGAGTAATCAATATCTAGGTTGCTTTCTAATATACAACATTGCGTTTACTAATGATATATGAGGCATTTTGTTACGCAATTTTTTTTAAAAAGGAATTTAACTACGTAATCCTCCATTTCTTGCTGCTATACGCAATTTAATTGTTCAACATTTGGCACTGTTCATTTTTAGTCGGCAAATTTAATTGTTTCTTCATCCAGCCCCAGCATTCCACATGCCCCAATCCCAACTTTGTTTTAAAATGTATATGAAGGCAACAAAGACAGTTTTTGTAAAGAAAATTCCTACTCACATATTATATAACTAGAAGGGCAAGGCCCGTGCTTAGCACGGGCCCAATATGATAAATAATATCAACATTCTTTTTTACATCATGTTATATAAAGATTCACAAGCAAATTAATACAAATGAAAACTAAAATTCTTAAATGAACAATACTGTAATTACATATCAAATTCAATAATCAATGAATAAATAAATATAAAGATGCAAACACCCTTAAATTGTCAATCTACCAGCATATAAATATTGTTTTGTTCCTATCCCTGGAAATGGAAAGTATATGTACTATTTAGATAACAACATATTGAATTTGAAATGTTTCCTTTTGACACCATCATTTATGCACCATGTTGATGCACCAAACCTGTAAAACAACATATATTATATTAATACTACCTTAAAAGCATGAATTCCCAAACTTGAATGTTGAATTACTATAATGCCCTCTATTAAAAATACTCAATTTATTTTATTTATTAGTTTAATTATTTGTATTATATTAAAAATAGATGCCTTTTTCACATTAAAGAATTGTGATTTTTTCAAAGAGTTGTGACTTTTTCAAAAGGTTGCGACTTTTTTGATGGGTTGTGACATTTTCGATGAGTTGTGACTTTCCAAAGGGTTGTGATTATTTCAAAGGGTTATGACTTTCTCAATGAGTTGTGACTTTTCCGATGAGCAGTGACTTTTTTGAAAGGTGGTAACTTTTCTGATAAGACATAATTAGCACATATTCAAAATACTATTTGATCGCTATAAATAAAGGAGTTTCTTCTCACTTTTAAACTACAATTTTTTAAAGTTTTGTACTCTTTTTCTTCTTATAAAATCTCAAGGGCTATTTGCAACAGATGATTAAGTTCAAAATTTAACGAAATTCGAGGTATCACATAAGAAAGAGTTGGTGAACAAATTATAGCAAATCATTCAACAATTCACACTCGTAGTTTTTCTTACGATTTTCATGAGTTAGCAATGACTAAAAGTTGTGGGAAAGACAATAATAATAAACAAATATGAAAAAAGTCACATGATTTGGATATGATATTTCTTCTTTATTTTTTCATTTTTTATCCTCTTACCCTCACGAAGGAGTTCCTTTCTAATTTTGGTAAAACAACGGGCATCAATCAACATAGTCCATTGAATTATTAGTTTGGATATAAAATTCACTATTTCAAAAAATAGATTTTATCTTTTACTTATAATATGATTTCAATCAAATGGAAAAATTACCTCTCTATAGATGATAGTCTTACTCATGTATTAATTGAGTAATAATATTTTGTAAAAGATAGATTGCGTATAGAGATAAAATATTAAAATATTTATGATAATTCTTATTAGTGTCATGCACATACTACATTTCAAGTAAGAATATTTAAGAGAAAAATTGTACTTAAATGGTATCCATAATTTGTGTTCATAGCCTCAAGAGGAAGACTATTTAATTTGTGACATTTTTTGTATTGATATTTTTTTTAAAATTTTGTTGGTTAGATTTGCTTACAAAATTGAGTGAAGTAAAAGTACTACTAAAGAAATGTCACTTTCTCCCCACGTTTAAACTTTGAATGTATTTTGAAATGTAATGATATCTTGTCATTTTGATTTCAAAATACAAGTAACCCTATAACAATTTGTATTAATTAGTTATATTAATTACTTAAAAACACTTGTCCTATGTTCTTTCAATTATAATTATTTACTAAAAAGCTTACTTTAGTAATATTAATTCTATTTTACAGCATTGTACATTATATATACAATACACATGTGCCGTGAAACTAGTATTGTTAAAAACATGAAACCTACTAAACTAACAAACACATGGGAAAAAAGGCAAAATCATAGCTGTAAAAATGCTTCAATAAACTACCTTCTATATGTTTCTTCTTCCTCATTCAGGGATAACTGCAGATCCAAATTTGCTTAGAATGAGTAGACCTCATATAGCAATAAGAATATAATTACATTGTCAAAGATACTAAATAAGTGTGTGGATTTAACAACTTTATACCTTTGCAAATGGAAACATTTTAAAGTAAATACTTGGACACTGACTTTAAAAAATATGGCATTTACTGTCTTGAAGTTGAATTTTGAAAGTACACCATCCACGGGATATACTTGACCCTCTATAACATTTGCAGAATTTAAGGGAACAAATTTCGAGACTGAAGATTACATTGATTAACAGAATTCAATGGCAGAACTTGAAAGTTTGAAGGTAAAAAAAAGATTTGAGTGTAAAATAGTCATGTCAACACAGTATATTGAAACAATTTTGATATTGCGTCATAACAATCCATAGATACAACTGACTCTAATTAATAAACAAAGAGATTGCACTCAACTATTACTCATAATATGTGTTGGGCAAAAAAAGAGGCTTAGTACATAAAGTACATCAGTTTGAAGATATGGCCAAACTTACAAAGTCAAAGCAGTTGATAGTCATATAGAAGTTGGTTGTATATAACG